AGAGACTAACAAATTTATGAGAGCATAAGCTTTCGTGGGCTACAGCCCACTTCTTCGGAGGCTGTAGCCCACGAAAGCTTATGCTCTCATAAATTTGTTAGTCTCTAAGGTGCCACAAGTACTCCTGTTCTTTTTGCGGATACAGACTAACACGGCTGCTACTCTGAAAGATATTCTTTGAAAGGTGTCAGACCACCATGTTGATGGTTAAAGCTATGTTAGAGCATAGACACAGATTTGACCTGTTGAAGTATTAAGAGATTTCTGAAACAGGTGGTGCAACAGGTGAGCATCCAAATAATATATAACTCAGCGCATCTAGAAGGAAATTGTTGTATCTTTTTCAGTTGTTTAATATTAAAAGATGTTTATTTCTGTTCTATCCAGTGTAAACTTTCAATAAATACTTCTTTTGTTTTATCTAAGATGAATTGGTGTTGGTTGTTATATTCTAGGAAACAATGATGGCTGATGCTTCTGAACAAAATAGATCTGTCATGTTAAAGGAGGCAGGGAACTATTCATGACACTTCGTCTTTAAGGATATTGGGGAGAAAGAGAGGGCTGCAGTCTTTCTTAAGGAGTAGTGCCTCTGTATATCCTTAAGGCACACAAGGACTAAACAGTGTTAGGGGTGAACCACTGTTACACCCTACTTTTCATTTGTTCATTCAGTTTAAAAAACCAACAAGATAAACACTTCCCTATTGAGTGGAAACTTCCCATGTTTATTTTCTCAACCAAAAGGTGGATTTTATTTTTGCAAGTTTAAGCATAATTGACTCAGCCACTTGAGTTGGCTAAGCAAGAAAAACAATGTTTAAAAAAAATTCTCAGTGGTCTAATTGCATACACATAGTGGATGGTGGGTTTTTTGTTTGTTTTTGTTTGGGGTTTGGTTTGGTTTGGCTGCTATTGCTATTGTTTGCTATTGGTTGGTGATGTTTTGTTTGTTTTTGGGTTTTGGCAGCTTTTAATTTATGAGAGTAGGAAAAGAAGAGTCACGTGGTCAGATCACAGGACTCAGAGCCAAGAATACAGCCTAGCACTCCTGCCTCTGCCACTGACTTATTGTGTGATTTTGGGTAAGCTTCTTTGCTTCACTTTTCCTATATGTGCAATGGGGACGATCAAAACTTCCTTGCAGAGATATTGTGGGGCATAACTGAATGCTCATTAAGCACTTTGAGATCCTTGGCTAAAACATGCTACGTAGATTCAAAATGTTACTGTGGCCAAATACAGTATTAGCTTGCATTTGGCTGTAGGCGATATAATAGCTTCAGAGAACTCCAAAACCGGAATTACACAGGAGCAAAACAGGAGTAATGCAGTGGTGAATCTCTGTCTTCTTGGTTACCACAAATTGGATTAGATTCCATGTGAGCCACCATGCTCTTTAATGGTGGGATTTTTTTAAAACCAAAACTCTATCACCTTATCCTAAGATGCAAAATAATAAAAATAAGAATTAAAAAAAAAACAAAAACAAGACTCTTCTAAGGGGTGCATGTTGTGTACCTTTTCCTGGCTTTTCTTTTTTGAGCATGCATGTGCGTGTGTCAGCCCATATGTGCAGACTCACGGGCAGATGATGTGAAGTACCTTCCCCGAAGAGCAAGCTGAGGAATGTACTAGCAAAGGTAGCTTTTGTTTAACCTTTGTACTGCCTGAATTCTCAGCCAGTGTGGCCCCAAATAAGCTATAGCAGCCTCAGGGATGATGACTATGCTGCCTACAACCCTTCCCAAGTCACCCCACAGTCCAGAATAGCCACAGCAAAGGTCTCTGGCTCTACTTGCTCCAGGTCACTCACCACCAGCTTTGCTCTGATAAGGTGCTGAGCAACAGCATCACCCCTCAAAGGGAGCTTATGTGAGCTTGACAAATCCGGAAATTATTATTTGTATTGCGGCAGCATCGAGCAGCGTGGACCAAGCCCTATTGCGCTAGGTGCTGTATAAACACAGAGCAGAGAGCTGGTCCCTGCCCCAAAGCGCTTTTATTTAAGTCCCTGAACATGGCTTCAGGAACCTAATTTAAGCCATCCAGCTCTGGAAACGTCCGTTTGTGTTCTTTCTTGCCTGCTTATCTCTACAAACAATAACGCCCCCTCCTCCAAACAATAATGTCGAGATGGGGGGTGCGGGGGGTTATGGCTTTTCCTCCCCCCCGTAACCCGTCGGCCCAAGGCACTGGGAGACAGAGTGGGGCTGAGATTGTAAAGATCTCAGTGAAACACACAAGCCAAATGCTCTGGAGCCAGGTTAAATGGCCACAGAATGCCCCCCCCCCCCGCCAGCAGCGGGTGTGTGTGGGGGGGGGGGGGGGGGGGTCCCTGGAGCACCAGCACGCAGGGCAGGAGGCGAGCAGCCAAGGTGTGCTAGCAGGAGGAGGGAGCACCGCTGGAGCGGGCGCAGTCCAGCTCGCCCCGGGGCTGGCGCGCCAGAGGTTACCTGAGTGCAGCCGGGCGGCGCTGGGGGCGGAGGCAGCCCCGCTGCCCAGCAAATGGCTGAGCAAGGGCAGCTGGAGGACTCGCGCGGGGGGCAGCGCGCGGGCCCCCGCCCCTCATAAAAGCATCTGCGCCGGGCTGGGTGCGGGCTGCTTGCTGCACCCTGGGCTTTGTCCGCGCGCGGGGCAGGGGGGCCCCAGGGCGGGGCTGGGAGGCGGCGGCGACAGACGCGACCCCAAGCTCGCAGGGGGGCGTGGCCCATTGCAAATGCAGTCGGCCAGGGCGTGTGTCTCGCATGCACGCTAGAGCCTCCGGATGGTCAGGCTTTGTCCCCTGCTAATGACCGTGCTGCTGCGGGGGCTGAAGGGAGCATGACTTTGTAATTCCCTTCCTGGCTCTCCAGCCGCAGGAAGGAGGCCAATTACCAGCTGGGGATTTGTCCACTCAGCCCAGGCCTGTTGGGAGCCAGGGAGACGGGCTGGAGTTGTTGCTGCTGCCAGTGTCCTTACCCTACACACCAACAACAGCCTACCCTTCTGGCTTGAGAGGATGGCTGGTGAGTAGGTTTTCTTTCTCTCTCTCACTGAGGATCTTGTTAATTAACTAGGCTTCATTTGATTTTTAAGCCCCTTGTCTTGAATAGACTACATCAGGTGTGGTAGAGCTGTGTAGAGTAGGATAGGTTTCCTTTCCTCCCCCCCTTTGTTTTTAGGATGCATACGGATTTCCCAACGTTTGTTTTTATCACGAAAATGTCATTTAGTGTGTGCAGTATTTGTTCACAATAGAATAATAGTATGCTGTAATTAGTAGGCCTGGATTAGGATTTAAACCATCTGGCTGGTAGGAGCTAAACTCATTTATCTATTACATATGCAAATATAAAGTCCTTTACCTGGTTTATCAATGGAGATTTCAAAGGTTCATAAGGTTATGTTTGGTATAAAAGCATACTTATTGACTTTCTTGATCTGGATGAAGAAAAGCTCTTTGTTTTATGCTGCTAATAGCGACACAGGTATTATTTATGAATAGCCCTCATTTTAAGAAAAGACAAGTGGTAGTTTGTTGTAATACAGGACATAGTTGGGTTTGATTTTCCTGCCTGCTTATTCCCGGGATCAGTGCCTAATTTGTACCAGGGCTTTGCCAGAGCTGAGCCCCAGCACCTCTAGGCTTGGCAGTTCATAACCACCACCCCTCCCTCCACCTCTGGGCTTGCTGCATAATTTATGAATGTAAAAAGATTGCTTGAGACCCAGCACCTCTTTTATGACAAATGTAAGCACTGCGCAGGATTACTGTGGTATAGAAGTTGTGGTGGAAAAGGTTCCTCACATGGTTTAAAACTGATTCCTCTGACCAATTAAGGAGCATCACTGAGGGCTTTGAAGAGAATTCCACTCTGTTCTGGATCACAAAGGGTACGTCTTCACTACCCGCCGTATCGGCGGGTAGCAATCGATTTATCTGGGATCGATATATCGCGTCTCGTTAAGACGCGATATATCGATCACCGAACGCGCTCACCGTCGACTCCGGAACTCCACCAGAGCGAGCGGCGGTAGCGCAGTCGACGGGGGAGCCGCGGCCATCGATCCCGTGCCGTCTGGACCCCAGGTAATTCGATCCAAGATACTTCGACTTCAGCTACGCTATTCGCGTAGCTGAAGTTGCGTATCTTGGATCGATTTCCCCCCCCCCCAGTGTAGACCAGCCCAAAGATAGTGGCAGTGGTGTGGAACCTTGTGTGTTGGGAATGATACATGGAAGGAATCCATAAATTATAAAAGAAACCATTTTAGGCACCCTTATTTGTCAAGATGAAGAGTCATACAGATGTCTTATTGAGTTGATTTTGGTTTTGGTAGCATGCTGAACTGTGATTTGTGGGAAATCTAATGATGCATTGCACGGACTCCTCTTACCTATCCTTCCAAAGTCAGAATTTCCAGCAGCTCCATGGCCAAATTTAATAACTGAGTTTTTTTAAACTGATATGTTAAAATCCTGGGATTAATATGGAGTGCAGTAGAATTATGGTTAACCAAGTGTCCAAGCCATTTTCTCGTATTATTTATTTGGCTTTCACCATGATCATCGATCATATTAAAAATCATGAGTTCTAGGCTGATAGTTATGTGATTAGACCATATCTTACTTCTCAGTTGAAAATAAATACAATTCAATAGAAGTTACATGGTTTGAGATGCAATTACTACTGTTCCCTTGAGGGAACTATGCAAAGCATAACCATGTTTAGTAATTTAAAAAAAATGAATAACTATGGATTTCCCTCACGGTAAAATGTGATCCTTTTCTGATCAGACTGACCAGCGTGTCCAATTTAGAGTTCAGGGGAGAGTCTGTTCAATTGTTGGACAATGTTAGGTAAGTGTCGGCAGGATCAGGACCTAACTGTGTAACATTAAGCAGATGATTGTTTGCAGTATTGTTGTAGCGGAAGAAGAGTTCTATTTAAGCTCAAAAGCTTGTCTCTTTCACCAACGGAAGTTGGTCCAGTATAAAGGGATGAATCACCTGCTTAAAGTTAAGCAGTTAGGTGCCAGACCTTAGTGGTTACTCTTAGGACCATGATATGAGAATGGCCATACTGAATCACACCAATTATCCATCTAGCCCAGTATCCTGCCTTCCAACAGTGGCCAATGCCAGGTGCTTTAGAGGGAATGAACAGAACAGGGCAATTATTGAGTGATCCATTCCCAGCTTCTGGCAGTCAGAGGCTTAGGGACGTCCAGAGCATGGAGTTGCGCCCCGACCTTCTTGGCTAATAGCCATTGATGAAGCTATCCTCCATTAACCGGGTTCAAAAAGAATTAGATAAGTTATACTTTTGGCCTTCACAACATCCCCTGGCAGCAAGTTCCACAGGTTGCCTGTGTGTTGTGTGAAGAAGTGCTTCCTTTTGTTTGTTTTAAACCTCCTGCCTATCAATTTCATCCGTGATCCCTAGTTCTTGTGTTATGTGAAGGGGTAAATAACACTTCCCTATTCACTTTCTCCATACTGTTCATGATTTTATAGACCTCTGTCATATCCCCTTCCCCGCTTAGTTGTCTCCTTTTTCTAAACTGAACAATTCCAGTCTTTTTAATCTCGCCTCATATGGGAGCTGTTCCATATCCCTAATAATTTTTGTTGCCCTTCTCTGTGCCTTTTCCAATTCTAATGTATCTTTCTTGAGATGAGACATCAAAAACTGCACACAGTATTCAAGGTGTGTGCGCACCATGGACTTGTATAGTAGAATTATGATATTTACTGTCTTAATATCGGTCCCTCTCCTTATGGTTCCTAACATTGTTAGCTGTTTTTGACTGCTGCTGCAGGTTGAATGGATGTTTTCCGAGAACTACCCACAATGACTCTAAGATCTTTTTCTTGAGTGGTAACAGCTAATTTAGACCCCATCTTTTTGTATCTATGGTTAGGATTATTTTTTCCAATGTGCATTACTTTATCAATGTGGTGGGCTTCTTTGGGATTTCCCCCCCTACATGGATGTTAAGTTTAATTAATTATGGTTGGTATAACCGAGTGTTTTAACTATGCTCATCTCTTGGACTAGATCCTGTATTCCACTTAGGACTAAATCAGGAATAGCCTCTCTTCTTATGAGTTCCAGGACAAGCTGCTCCATGAAGCAGTCATTTAATGTGTTTAAAAATGTTATATCTGCATCCCTTCCTGAAGTGACACAGACCCAGTAAATATTAGGATAGTTGAAATCCCCCATTACTATTATGTTTTCTGCCTTTGTAGCCCTTTTAATTCCCCTGAGCATTTCAGTCACCATTGCTATCCTGGTCAGGTGGTTGGTAGTATATTTCTACTGCTAGACTCTTACTGTTGAAGTGTGGAATTTCTATCCCTATAGAGATTCTATAGTACAGTTTGATTTATTTAAAATTTGTACCTTATTTGACTCTAGGCTTTCTTTCACATGTAGTGCCACTCCCACACCAGTGCAACCTATCTATCATTCCTATATATTTTGTACCCTAGTATTACCATGTCCCATTGATCATCCTCATTTCCATGATGCCTATTATAGCAATAGCCTCACTTAATGCTAGTTCACCCATGTTAGTATTTAGACTTCTAGCTTGTTTATAATAAGCACTTGTACATTTTTGTCAATATTTAGTTGCTTGCCTTCATGTGTTCTTTTTAAATGTGATTCTTTTATGTTTGACTGTTTCTCACTAGCTCCTACCTGTACTTTACCAACTACTTTCCTATCCCTTTATTAGGATATAGATTTCCTCCTTTAATAAATTCATCCCTATGGATGTATCCACCTGAACCATGTGCTCTTCCACACCTGTTCACTTTCCCTCAGCCCTTAGTTTAAAAAGTTCTCTGCAGTATGGTTCCATTTTGGTTTAGGTGGATCCCATCCTTTCTGTATAGGCTCCTCCCTTCCAAAAAGGTTTCTCAGTTCCTAATAAACCTAAAACCCTCCTACTTACAGCATTGTTTCAGCCACACATTGAGACCCTGCAGTTCTGCCTGTCTTCCTGGCTCTGCATGTAGAACTGGAAGCAGTTCAGAGAATGCGATCATGGAGGTCCTGGACTTTAATCTCTTATGTAGCAGCCTCTCTCCTACCTTTCTCTGTCACTGGTACCTTCATGTACCACCAGTTCCTTTCCAGCACTGCACATAAGTCTGTCTTAGGCCCTGCTACACTTGCAAGTTAGAGCGCATTAAGTCAGCTCTGGGGGCCCTAACTCCTGAGGTGTCCACACTGGCAAGGCACGTAGAGAACTTGGACTCCGCGGCTGGAGCACCCATGGTAATCCACCTCCACAAGAAGCATAAATCCGTGGTGCCAGTGTGGATGCCCTGGTCTATTAATACGCTCCGATCGGCCTCCAGAAGTGTTCCACAATGCCTGTTCTAGCCACTCTGGTCATCACTTTGAACTCTACTGCCCTGCCCTCAGGTGACCAACCGTCAGACTCCTTAAATTCTCTGGGAATTTTGAATTTCCCCTTCCTCTTTGCTCAGCAAGGCACGTAGTGCTCTCAGTGCATCTTTCCAGGTGACCATGTCTCCACGCGCCAGGCGATCCACAGTATGGAGCAATGGCGAGGTGCTGGACCTCATCAGTGTTTGGGGGGAGGAAGCTGTCCAGTCCCAGCTGTGCTCCAGCCGTAGGAATTACGATACCTACGGGCAGATATCAAGGGACATGAGAGAAAGGGGCCATGACCGGGATGCACTGCAGTGCAGGGTTAAAGTGAAGGAGCTGCGCACAAAGCCTAACACAAAGTGCAGGAGGCAAACCACCGCTCCGGTGCTGCCCCCACGACTTCCCGTTTCTACAAAGAGCTGGAAGCGATACTTGGAGGTGACCCAACCTCCACTCCGAAGAGCGCCATGGACACTTCAGAGGCTGTAGCAGCCCAGCGTTCAACAAGGCTGGAGGAGGAAAGCGGGAGCGAGGGTGCTGAGGAGGAGCAGGGCCCAAAGCCAGAGGACGGCCCGGTACCCCTAGATGCATGCAGCCAGGAGCGGTTTTCAAGC